ATTTTCCCACTTTTACCCGAAAAGGCTTGATTTTAGGGCAAAACTCCAAATAACCATTCTGAAAGCTCGTAAAATTCTGGTCTGGAAAAGTCTTAAGTGACATTGACCAGGACCCGCGGTCTCCCAAAATAGGGGGGGGGGGGGCTTAAAATGTCAAAATATCTCAAATTTCCGCGAAAATGACCGTTTCGCCGCGATTTCTCGCCAATAACGCGGAGAAGGTTGGTAATATCGTAAAATTGTTTATCCCAAGAATGATAGAGCATTCATTTTTCATACGAGGGGCGGCCTAACCCCTCATGGAGGGAGTAGTACCCACCCTATAAAACCGTCAAGATTGGCCGCTTCCTTGAAGTAGCGTTATGCGCAAAAATGGGCGGCGAAATGAAAACAAGTGGCGTTTGTTCTGAGAGAACATCAGTGAGACTTCTTGTGGGAGGTGACAGGGGAAGGGAGGTACATCCTCCTCCCTCCTCCTCCCCCCAAAAAATAATCACGAAAAACGTTAATTAAACGCGAAAATTCCACTTTGTAAGACGACTTTCAGGGCTTGTCATTAACACGCTTACATTAACATAATTTAACGAGGGGGGGGGGGAGAAGGGGTTATCCTCCCCCTCCTCTTCCACCCCCTCCCCCAAAAAAAATAATCACGAAAAAATTTAATTAAACGCGAAAATTCCATACTCTAAAAGGCGACTTTCAGGGTGTGTCATTGTCACACTCGCACTAATTTAATTTAATAAGGGGAGGGGGGGGGCGTTGGACATCTTAGCCTCCCCAGCCAACATTAAAAAAGGGTGGGGGAGGGGTAATTTAAAAACGTCACTTGCTTAATAATAGGAGGGACGGGGAAACCTAGCTGCAATAGAAAATTTTAAGATTTGAAGGGATACTTAATTAAATCAGGGAACGTAGAGATACTGTTTTATTTTTTGGAAATCACTGAAACTGAGGGGAGCTTATTCATAATTGATGGAAATGTACATTCTTAAGCTTATGTCAACATTTTTGAAACGTTTGGAGAAAAGGCTCAAAGTGCATTGGATCGTTCGCCGAAGTATTCAATCATTCATATGGTCACAGACAGACACTGCAGTGATACATCTATCAAAAACATTATTATGAGGGGCTCATTCGGCGATTATGAGGGGGACTAGGGGATACTTTTTCATGAAAGGACCCCCAACTTAAATACCTCGTAGTTTGAAAATTACCTTAGGCAGGTGTAAAAACAAGAACCAAGTTATCGATCTATTCTTAATTGAATGGAGCCAAAAGATATACGCTCAATATTCTCACAGGAAAAAGTATACTTAAGGCATGGAGAAGGGTCTACCCAGTTTACTTCCGCTGACAGTGTGAGAGTTGATTTCACCTTGCAAACTCAATAAAAATCAAACCAATAAGAAGCAAAGACTCAAATAATTTTGCTTTTTTCCGAGTTGAACTATCTTGATAAATATCTGTCTGTGACCAAATGAATGATTGAATACTTCGGCAAACGATCCAATGCACTTTGAGCCTATTCTCCAAACGTTTCAAAAATGTTGACATAAGCTTAAGAATGTACATTTCCTTCAATTATGAATAAGCTCCCCTCAGTTTCAGTAATTTCCAAAAAATAAAATAGTATCTATACGTTCCCTGATTTAATTACGTATCCCTTCAAATCTTAAAGTTCTCCTACTGCAGCTAGGTTTCTACGTCCCTCCTATTATTAAGCAAGTGACGTTTTTAAATTACCCCTCCCCCACCCTTTTTTAATGTTGGCTGGGGAGGCTAAGATGTCCAACGCCCCCCCCCCTCCCCTTATTAAATTAAATTAGTGCGAGTGTGACAATGACACACCCTGAAAGTCGCCTTTTAGAGTATGGAATTTTTGCGTTTAATTAAATTTTTTCGTGATTATTTTTTTTGGGGGAGGGGGTGGAAGAGGAGGGGGAGGATAACCCCTTCTCCCCCCCCCCCCCTTTTNCCCCCCCCCATTTTGGGCGCCCGCGGGTAATGGCGAAAGTCACTTAAAACTTTTCCAGACCAAAATTTTACGAGCTTTCAGAATGGTTGTGTGGAGTTGTGCCCTAAAATCAAGCCTTTCCGAGAAAAATGGGAAAATTCGCGGAAAAGTCGGAATTCCGAGCAATTTAGGGGGGTTTAGGGGGGGGGGCTTACTCCCCCCCCTCCCACCACGATAGAATTCGCGTAAACAAAGAAATCTTTTACTACTAGTCGAGAGCTTCAAGAAAATCACCATTTTCAAAATTCCCACCGGGGGGGGGGGGGGGGGNGGGGGGGGGGGGGGTACCCCTTGCTGGCCCACGGTCTATCCTATACAGGGTGATCCAAAAGTCCCTTCCACCCCCTCTAACTTTTTTCCAAATTGAGATAAAAATTTGAAACTTGGGGGATATTCCTAGGTCAAAGGGAGCTACTTTTCGGCCCCCTAAAATTTTAAGGGGGGCCCCCCTTGGGGGGGGGCAACGGCCCCCAACTTGCAATTTTCAAATAGGAAGACCCCCTTTGTGATAGCACGTTCGAAAGAGCATAAAAAAAGAAAACTTTTCGCGCAAACCCGAAGTCAATATCTCAAACCGTTTAAAAATGGCGGCCGGTTAAAGTTCAAGGACTTTAGTCTGAATAAATGGGAGAAAATTTGAGCCCAGCTACAGTTCACTCGTCGATAAAAGTAAGACAATTTGAGAAAATCGAAAAAACGATCACAGCCTGCAAATCTACAGATCACAGGCTTTCATTTAAAACAAAAATCATGCAAATCGGTCCGGTGGTTCTCTCAAAGTTAACGTCCAAAGATTCGGACCTCCGTTTTAATGCATCGAAGAAAGTTTGAGAAAATTATGGGAAAAACTTTGAGAAAATCGAAAAAACGATCACAGCCTGCAAATCTACAGCTCAGGGGCTTTCATTTAAAGAAAAGATCACGCAAATCGGTCTGGTGGTTCTCTCAAAGTTAATGCCCCAATATTCGGAACTTTGCATATTAATATGCAGGGTGATTCAAAAGTCCCTTCCACCCCCTCTAACTTTTTACATAATTGAGATAAAGATTTGAAACTTGGGGGATATTCCTAGGTCAAAGGGAGCTACTTTTCGGCCCCCTAAAATTTTAAGGGGGGCCCCCCTTGGGGGGGGCAACGGCCCGCAACTTGCAATTTTCAAATAGGAAGACCCCCTTTGTGATAGCACGTTCGAAAGAGCATAAAAAAAGAAAACTTTTCGCGCAAACCCGAAGTCAATATCTCAAACCGTTTAAAAATGGCGGCCGGTTAAAGTTCAAAATGGCCGAAATTACACACCGGTTATTTGTCGATGGATTTGCGCGAAAATCGGTATGTAGGGGTATTTTGACACGAGAAAATCAAATTTGACGATAGATTTCCAAAAAAACCAAAATTTCCAAAATAGCCGCCGGTTAAAGTTTAAAATGGCCGAAAATTTTCACCATGGTTTTTACCTGATGGATTTGCCTAAAACTTAGAATTTGAGAGTATTTTGGCATAAGATAAACAAATTTGAACTTAGATTTATAAAAAAATAAATTTTTGGTCATTTTGACTTTAACCGGCGGCCATCTTGGAAATATCGGTTTTTTGAAAATCTAACGTCAAATTCGTTTTTTTCGTGTCGAAACACTCCTACATACCGATTTTCGCGCAAATCCATCGACAAATAACCGGTGTGAAATTTCAGCCATTTTGAACTTTAACCGGCCGCCATTTTGAAACGGTTTGAGATATTGACTTCGGGTTTGCGCGAAAAGTTTTCGTTTCTTATGCTCTTTCGAACGTGCTATCACAAAGGGGGTCTTCCTATTTGAAAATTGCAAGTTGGGGGCCGTTGCCCCCCCCCAAGGGGGGCCCCCTTTAAAATTTTAGGGGGCCGAAAAGTAGCTCCCTTTGACCTAGGAATATCCCCCAAGTTTCAAATCTTTATCTCAATTAGGTAAAAAGTTAGAGGGGGTGGAAGGGACTTTTGAATCACCCTGCATATTAATATGCAAAGTTCCGAATATTGGGGCATTAACTTTGAGAGAACCACCAGACCGATTTGCGTGATCTTTTCTTTAAATGAAAGCCCCTGAGCTGTAGATTTGCAGGCTGTGATCGTTTTTTCGATTTTCTCAAAGTTTTTCCCATAATTTTCTCAAATTTTCTTCGATGCATTAAAACGGAGGTCCGAATCTTTGGACGTTAACTTTGAGAGAACCACCGGACCGATTTGCATGATTTTTGTTTTAAATGAAAGCCTGTGATCTGTAGATTTGCAGGCTGTGATCGTTTTTTCGATTTTCTCAAATTGTCTTACTTTTATCGACGAGTGAACTTTAGCTGGGCTCAAATTTTCTCCCATTTATTCAGACTAAAGTCCGCATTTTGGGACATTAACTTTGAGAGAACCACCGGACCGATTTGCATGGGGTTTTTTTTAAATGAAAGCTTCTGATCTGTAGATTAGCAAGCTGTAATTGTTTTTTTGATTTTCTCAAATTTTCTTTCTTTTATCGACGAGTAAAGTTCAGCTGTTTCGAGCGGTCGTCCGGCCGCTACCTGCTTGCCCGTCCCTAGATACCCCCCCCCCTCTACGGTCTCAGCCACCCCTTCCGCCACGTTATTTCGGCTATCTCCGTTTTCTTTCGTATAGCTCTCCTCCCACTAACCTCAAAGAAAGAGGTTTGGGTCGCATCGTCGTTCGTCACTCGCCACCCACATTCCTTCGCAATCCCTCGGCTGCTCCGCCTCACAGCTTCTTGATATCCTGGCATCTTATTCTCTGCGGCTTGACTGACCTTGACTTATTAACTGCAGTATTGCGTATTGCTAACAACACGTATTGTTACAGACATTTTATTCATCATTATTAAATAGATTCAACAAATTGCTCAGATTCCAATTAAGCTACTGCACCACCATTGCTAGCTGTGGAGGGCGCCCGTAGGGCGCCCGGAGCAGCTAGTTAATACAAAAATACAAACATGAGCATACCCATATCTTTGAAGTTGGTAATCAAAAGTCAACTCTTCGCCAGCTGCAATTGTTCGACGACTGAAAAATCCAATTCTTAACTCTCCATTAACAGTCCACTAAAAATAGGTGAGAAGATGAGAACATAAAATATAGACCAATAAAAAACGATGATGAAAATCATTAAAGTACCATGCGGGAAACTATTCCAGATTAAATCCTAGGTGAGTAATGAACACATTTCTGCAGCATAATCTACAGTCCATTTCACGAAACCTGAGGCTTTTTATTCAGCATTTAAATCCATAAATGGCACCGCATCAGTCTCGGGTGCGATGACCCGACCGCCTGCAAGATACCCGATACCCTCCAGTGTGCAGTGAAAAGAGGCCTGCAACCCATCCATTGTCAGGGTGGAAACAATAGCATCCATCTTCCCTCTTCTGAGAGCTCTAGGGTCTGGACCGAAATATTTTAGCTGTTGAAAAATTCACCTTTTAGAGTGAAAATTTAGTTCCAGCGTGAAATTATGATAAAAACGCACAAAAATTCCATCCGATCATCTAAATATAGAGCAGATAAACGGCATTTCGCGGTAAATTGCGGTCATACGCAAATGCTTATAACTGCAATAACTTTTTTGATACTTTCGCACTATAACTAAATTTAACACTTAATAATTTTTTCAAGGGCAAAAAAATTTCGGTCCAGGTACTAGAGCTCTCAGAAAAGGGAAGAGGGGTGCCCATTGTTTCCTCCCTGACAATAAATGGATCGCTAACCTCTCTTCGCTGCACAATAAAGGGTGTCTAGCGAGTGGTCCAGTCATCGCGGCCGAGACTGATATGTTGCCATTTACGGATCTTAATGCCAAATAAAAAGTTTCAGGTTTCGTGAAATGGACTATAGGCATGATATTTTCGTTTCTGTCACAGTTGAATTTCAATGAGGCAAACAGGCTTCAGTAGGCCAATTGTTAAGGCATCGATATCTCTAATCGATAAGCTAAAAACCTCACTGTACACTGAGAGATATTGCAGCAGAGCTGGGAACGCATGGCCAAAAAAAAACAAGCATCTATAATCATAATTAAAGAAGTTATTGATCATTGATGAATTTGTGTTTGGTGATGGTTGTAAGTTACATTAATGTTAAGTTCCGATGAATTAAATGTGATTTCATGTGAAGTGCTGTTGCAGAAAGTGTGTGAGAAAATAAAACTCAATCATAAAATAAAAGTAGCCCGTACTGAGACTTGAACCCAGGTCCGCATGCATGGCCTAACGGGACTAGGTCAGTCCTTGCGCAAATTCCCCCACCTGCTCTGCTGCACAGCCACTCCTCGCCCACCGGAGTTTTGCCGTGACGTCAGCAGGAACCCACTCTGATCCCCGGCATGAGGAGCACATGAGATTTCCTGAGAGATTTGTTTAAGGTTATAAATTCGTAAACTGTTGGGGCTTGGGGGTGTGATATGTGGTTATTTAGATGTGTTTTGTGGTTCTGTGGATGTTTGTAGTCTTAACGTTTGGACCTCCAGCAGCCTGGTCGTTGATATTTTGTGTTTGCCGGGTGGACATAGATGACATAGGTTAAATGGCGAAGCTTGGTCGGTCGGCTATTCTTATTGCTGCTTCGTTGGATGGAATGAATGACAAACTAAAGGCACCTCTTAAGTTTCTGACAGTTTGTCATCCATTTCACCCGATAAAGCAGCAATAAGACACAGCCAACCAATCACGCTTCCTACTTAACCCATTTCATTTATGTCTACTCGACAAACACAAAATTTCAACCATCAGGCTGCTGGATTGACATTAAAGTCAAAATTTGCGGGAAATTCACTTTTTTGATGATAACATGGCAATAATAGCAAAAACGACTAAAATGCAGACGACCAAAGTCGTTAGAAATTAAATTTCCAACAAAAAACTTCCTTATCCCTTTTTCTCTTAGTGCAGCCGCACAGTAAGTTTTAAACACTTTTAATGCGGTCAACGTACCCGTACCACCCGCAATTTTTGGCGGAAATGTCAACTAGAAGGCCTACTTATTGAGGAGCAACAAACCGCGAAATTTGTAGTTGGGCCGTTTTTGAGAAAATGCGATTTTTCGCTTTTTTTGCTGGAATTTCGGGTCAAAGCGCTGAAAAAGTCTAGTTAGGCTGTTTTTGTGGCTTGTAAATGCATATTCTAAATATTTCCAGTCAATCAAGTGTCAGTAGATGGCTTTCCGTGCATATTGCCCAAAATTCATATCCTTATATCCACGACTTTCAGGTTTTTTGGGGGGTTAGTCAAGGAGAAATCCGAAAAAAAGAGGTTTAACCCAGAAAAAATTGCTTAACAAACTTTTCCCATGTAAACGTCGTCAGTAGGTCCTCTTGAACAACATACCAAATGTTTACCACGGTTCGATTCCGGAACACCCCCCCCCATTGCTAAATTTCAAAATGGCGGCCAAAATAAGGCCTCTGGGATTTCGATTTTTTTAAAATACGCATACAGTGTCATGTGAGGTGTCAATCCCAATATAATTTTGGTCGTAGATTTCAGATATGAAGTCAAAAAAGTCCCCCAGTCAAAGGGGGTACCCCAAATCCAAGATGGCAGCCAATTTTGAAAGACAAGAGGTTGAATTTTTTAAATGTTTGCATGATAAGGCAAGTGAGGTATCATTTCTTATGTAACTTTGGTCGGAGATTTCATTTGTGAAGTCATAAATGCCCTCCAGTCAAAGGGACTGCTCCAAATGCCAAGATGGCGGCCAAATTTGAAAGGCAGGAGGGTGAATTTTTGAAATGTTTACGTGACGTCCCTAGTAAAAGTGAATCAGCCTGACCTCAGGCTATGTTTCATTAACTACCCTGAGTTAGACTAATTCGGGCTGACATCATTCTGACTCAGGGTAGTTTATGAAACACAGCCTGACGCCAGGCTGATTCACTTTTACTAGGGATGTCACGTAAACATTTCAAAAATTCACCCTCCTGCCTTTCAAATTTGGCCGCCATCTAGGATTTGGGGTACCCCCTTTGACTGGGGGACTTTAATGACTTCATATCTGAAATCTACGACCAAAATTACATAGGAATTGACACCTCATTTGACACTGTATACGTATTTTAAAAAAATCGAAACCCTAGAGGCCTTAATATGGCCGCCATTTTGAAATTTAGGCAATGGGGGGGGGGGGGTTTCGGAATCGAACCTTGGTAAACATTTGTTTGTTCAAGAGGACCTCCTGACGACGTTTACATAGGAAAAGTTTGTTACGCAATTTTTTCCAGGTTAAACCTCTTTTTTTCGGATTTCTCCTTGACTAACCCCCCAAAAAACCCGAAAGTCATGGATTTAAGGATATGAATTTTGGGCAATATGCACAAATAGCCATCTACTGACACTTGATTGACTAGAAATATTTAGAATATGCATTTACAAGCCACAAAAACAGCCTAACTAGATTATTTCAGCGCTTTGACCCGAAATTCCAGCAAAAAAAGCGAAAAATCGCATTTTCTCAAGAACGGCCCAACTACAGATTTCGCGGTTTGTTGTTCTTCAAAAAGTAGGCCTTCTAGTTGAAACTTCCGCAAAAAAATCGCGGGTGGTATGTTGACCGCATCAAAAGTGTTTAAAACGTACTGTGACCGTTATAGTGTAAAATTCAAAAACCCTTTTTTATCCGGAAATTTAGTACAAATTCTCGTTCAGTCCAGGATAAATACGGGAAAAAGAGGGCTTACTCGGAACAAATTGCGTGACAGACTTTTCCTACAAGAATGTCATCATCAGGTTGGCCTGAATAACCCAAAACATACAAAATGTTTTCCGCTGCTCCATCGTGGAATACCCCTTAAAATGCCTTAAATTAAAAACAAGGTTGCCACAAAAATTTGGAAATGATTTCCCCTGACTTTTCCAGGTTTTCCCTGACGAAAAATGGAGAAATTCCCTAACCTTTGAGAACGCGCGCCATGATTGCACAGCCAAATTTACACCTTGCTAGCTACCATTGCACTAATATAGCGTCTCATTTGAAACGCGCTTAAGCTAAGGAGTCAGAAATTAATTGTAGAACATTTGGAAATACAAAAAGGGTTGTTGACTTTTTCTTTTAATTTTGATGCTTTTGACTTTCTTGAGCAACCCAATAATTGTTTTAGAGACGAAAACTTTTGAACGATTGTTCTTTTGAAGAAACACTCTAAAGAAAAGGGTCTTCCCTGGTGTTTGTTTCTCTATTTATCCCTCCCTTCCCAGGATTTTTCAAACACCTATTTTTAAAGTGAGCTTCAAATGGTTTATTTTTTCAAGAACTTTGATGCTTTGCGTATGCAATAATCCTAGACACTCGAATTACTATAAAGAAGAAAATTAAACGGTTAGTGGTTAGTCATCGGTAGTAGTTGAAATTTCAAAAATACACACAAAAACTGGGCATTCCAATTTGCGTTGCTTGTTGCATTGGGGACAAAATACGGTTGCATAGTTTAACTCTTGAATGCATCGCGAGATATGCCACTTCATCGCAATTTAGATGGCGTTCAAAACCGAAAAAAGAAAGATTTTAAGCAACTCGTGAAAACTGTCAATTTATCCCTGACTTTTAGCTGTTTTTGGTCAAATTCCCTGACTTTTCCAGGTTTTCCAGAGCACTTTTTTTCCCCTGACTTTTCCAGGTTTTCCCTGAATTCCCTGACCGTGGCAACCCTGTAAAAAAGGCGGCCGATCCCCAGGAATCCGAATTTCATGGTCCCAGAGCCTACCCCCCCCCCCCNCCCCCCCCCCCCTATGGCGCCCCTTGGGAGGTAAAAGGGGGGTCCGTACTTCAAAAGTCAGGGTTTAAGTCAAAAGAGGTGTGTGAAAAAACGGCCAAAAATGCCTCAAGGCATTTTCGAATTTTGATCACTTGGGGAGATACAGAAGCTTCCGAGACACCCAAAACCGGTCGCCGTTTTGCTTAGGAGCGCCGGGTTGCGACGTTGCCATTTTTTAAAGTGGAAACCTTTAAAAATTCATATCTCCGCCGCATCTCAACCGATTTCAATGAACTTTTTTTTAAAATGTTCCTCTTAAATAGAGCTTTCTAGTGATGTATAGTTTCATGGGGTTTACTT